ATTCGCAAACAGGCGGTGGCTCCTTCTCGAGCGAGGCGATGTATTGGCATTCCTAGGGGCAGCCGCCAGGGGGCATGCCACGGGCCCGTTCGCGGTCCGATCGTGGCTCGTTCCACGGCGAAAAGCTGTTCCGGCGCCCCCGAGTTCTTTCTTGTCAGCGCAGATCCGATTGTAGTTCGCTCTCCAGCGACGCGCTGTTTCGGCGCACTCCAAAGGGGGGGCCGCCAGGGTGGCCGCGGGGGTGCATGTTGCTGATGATGGTGGTGGCGATGGCCGTGGTTGTCGCGCTGTCGGGGCTGATAGTGATCATGGGGCGAGGCTGGCAATTTTATTTGATGATGATAGTGGGGATATCGAGCAATGGGGGCTGGCTTCTGATTGCGGTGACGACGATGAGGGAGGCGACCGTGCATCGGGACGTGGTGATCGGAGGCGTGTGATACTGATGCGGTGTCGGGGCGTTGACGAGGATGCTTATAGTGGTGGTGATGGGGGTGCTGCCGTGAGCGCGCGCGATGGTAGGTGTTTGTCTCGTTTTGTTTTTGAGGGGGGGTTTGGTGATGGTGATGATGGTGGTGTTGTGGGTTGTGATGATGCTCGTGCTGTTGACAATGATTGGGGGCAACACTGGCGATGCCGATGGTGACGACGGCGACAGTGATGATGTTCATTAGCATGTCGAGACGGACGAGTATGGCGTCGATTGTGTGGGTGGTCGCGGTGATGATTGCGCAGGAGATGGAGGCCATTGTGCTGGTGCGATGGTGCACGGTGGTGTCGACGACTCTTGGAGCCCGGTTGGGGCTATTTTGGCCCGTCTTGGACGCTTTTTGGGCCGTCGTGGAGCCTTATTGGGCCGTTTTGGCGCGCTCTTGGGAGCGTCTTTGGCCGTCTGGGAGCAATCCTGGAGGTTTCTTGGGCTGTCTTGGGTAGTGGGAAGCCAAACAGGCGATGAAGAAAAACACCGCGAAACACTGGAGGACAGTTCTTGTTTTTGTTGTGCCCCTCAGAGCCCTCATGGGGGGCGTCTTCGAGCGGTCTGGGGCGGTGTTGCGGCCCCAGGTGGGCTTTTTGTGGGGCGTCTTGGGAGCGATCTTGGGAGGGGCGGTTATTGGAGCTCTCTTGGGGCTCGTTTAGGCTGTCTTGGACGCCATGTGGGCCGTCTTGGGGCTCTCTCGGGCTGTCTTGGCGCGCGCTTGGGGCTTCTTGGTCCGTCTAGGAGCGGTCTTCGAGGCCTCTTGGGCTGTCTTGGGTGGTGGGCAGCTATAAAAAACGATGCAGCCAAACAAATTTGAAACATACTTGAGGAACATCTGCGATGCTACGCACAACTATGCTTCAAAACTTCAAGGATTTCACAGGTGTGCGACCTGGGGACCATTGGACATGGGAGTTCCCTGTTTGACAGTGGACCCCGCTGTCAAATGGTCACCCAGGCCCCTGGTTGACAGTGAGCCGCACTGTCACAGGGGTCGGGGCCCCCTGGGGGCACCACTGCCAAATTGCCTCGCAGGCTGCCTGTGGGGCCATGGCGCCCGCGGCCCGTGGGCCTCATTGACAGAGCGCCGCGCTGTCGAAGTCGGCGATGCGCTTCCCGTTCACGCGCGTTGACAATGGCGCCCGCTGTCAGATGGCCTCACAGGTGGCTTGGCCCGCGGCCCGTGGGCCCCATTGACAGTGTACCGCGTCGTCAAAATCGGTGACGCGCTTTCCGTTCATGCGCGTTGACAATAGCGCCCACTTTCAAATGGCTGAAACGGTGGTGGAGCGACGGGGACAACACTTGGGCCCGATGGGGGGACTAATAGGGGGGGAATAATGTCACGCGCCTAGAGACCCTAAGAGGTTGGCGGATTTTTTGGCCCTCCACATCAGGCATTGCCTCCCAGTCGATTGCAATCGGTCGGTCCGGTTGCTGCGTCACTGTTGCTTTCGGTTACTTTTACTTTACCTTTTGGGAGTGAGCATCGATTCGGCCGATCTCTATCCTCGCTGGCGTGTCCTGGGCCCCATTGGACGATGCCTCCCTTAGATGGGGATTTAGGCTGTTCCCTTCGGGTTCCGAGGGTACTCTCCCCAACTGGGGTGGTGGGATGGTGAGGCTGAGATAACATTGCACAGTGGGGGTGGGAATTGGTGCAACGATACCCAGGGAGGGGTTCCCCTCTCCACCCCAGCCCAGTCGTCCGGCTCTGCCCCCCCCGGCCTGGTCGTCCGGTCGTCCGGTCGTCCGGTCGCCTGGTCGCTTGGTCGCCTGGTCGCCCGCCCAGTCGTCCAGTCGTCTGGTCGCCCGGGCGCCCCGTCGTTTGGTCGCCAGCTTTGGCCCTGGTAGATCTTGCGGTGTCCCTCCGACCCGACGCGTCCCCGGCATCCTCGTCTTGTCCTTTTTGACTCCGTGCCGTGCATGCTCCGCCCTTGTCCTGGCCCGCCTTCCACTCCACCGTCGCGGCGGTTGGCGTTCGCCTTGACGCCCCGTTTAGAGCGGCCAGCGGCGGCGCTCGGTGGCGAGGTTCGAAGCTTGCCCTCGCCGATCAACGATTCAGGCAATTCGATGGGCGGCGGGGTAATTAGGCTTCG